AACAAATACAAAGAGGAGGTCAAGCTCGAGGATGGGATGAGGGTCCTCGAGGGTCTTCCAGTGAAGGTAATCTTCAAACTTTTGACTTTAGCCTCGAGTTTATTGGTCGAGCTTAACACTTGACATTTTCTTCATTTTTTCCAGATGTTGAGTATAGCTCGAGGACTCTCTTTGCAAGGACTCGAGGAGGCCAAGAGGGCAGCTGGGGTCGAGACGTCCATGGCCTCTAAAGACAGTAGGATTCAAGACCTGTCAGGGAGAGGGCTTGGGAGGAGTTTAAAACCTCCGAGGACTGCGACAAGATAAAAGGGGAGTATGCGTCGGGGGCGTACTTCCATGCTCTGAAAGAAGCCCGGGCCTTCCTCAGGCAGAAATTGCCCGACGTCACTCCTGATGACCTGAAGATGGTGCCCTCCATTGCTGATACATTGGAGCTCTCGGGTTCGGAAGATGGAGGAGGATCTGGTGGAGATGATGAGGATGGTCTTGAGGACGACGTTGAGATCGACATCAGCAACCTCGATCCTCCTCTTGGCCACATTGGATGACTTCCCCACCCCGATCCTTTGTAATTTTTTGTTTAATTTTGACAATGTAGATTGATCGAGGACTATGTATGTTTAGTTAATTTATTCGAACTATTTATCTCGACCTCTTGGACTCCATACAATCGAGCAATCAAATTCGAAACTTACTGCTCACGCGATATTGAAGTGTTTACTCGAGGATTCCACAACTCGAGCGTATTTAAGGGATTAAAAGGTGAGACGTACATTCTCGAGCACAAATAAAAAATATGATGATGTGAAATTCTCGAGGACTGTAAACCTCGAGAACAATTAGTCTTAAAAAATGAGGCCATTCTCGAGGACCGTAGTCCCGAGCACAACCAAACTTTAAAAATTGAGTGACATTCTCGAGGACTGTAATCCTCGAGCACAACTAAACTTTAAATTGTGACATTCTCGAGGACTGTAATCCTCAAGCACAACTAAACCTTAAAAAGTTGGGTTGTGATTTCCTCGAGGACAGTGATCCTCGAGCACACTAACTTTAAAAAGTTGTAATGTGAGATTCTCAAGGGTGTCCAAAATAATGTGGGATTTTTGTATGTCCCTGGGCGATACTTTAATGGTTTACACTTGAGTATATGATCAAGGCCTTTTGTGCTTGCGTAGGGCAAGGCTTTGGTGCTTGCTTGAGGCAAGGCTTTTTGATGTGCTTGCCAGGGGCAAGGCTTTTTGAGTGCTTGCCTGGGGCAAGGCTTTTTGAGTGCTTGCCTGGGGCAAGGCTTTTTAATGTGCTTGCCAGGGGCAAGGCTTTTTGAGTGCTTGCCCGGGGCAAGGCTTTTTGAGTGCTTGCCCGAGGCAAGGCTTTTTAATGTGCTTTCCCGGGGCAAGGCTTTTTGAGTGCTTGCCTGGGGCAAGGCTTTTTAATGTGCTTGCCTGGGGCAAGGCTTTTTGAGTGCTTGCCTAGGGCAAGGCTTTTTATTGGCTTGTCAAAGACAAGGCTTGAAGGGGCTTGCTTGAGGGCAGGGCTTAAATTGGCTTGCTCGAGGGTAAGGCTTATATTGGCTTGTCAAAGACAAGGCTTAAAAGGGCTTGCTTGAGGGCAAGGCTTATATTGGCTTGTCAAAGACAAGGCTTGAAGGGGCTGTTATACCCGATGTTTGGATTTATTAATTGTTTGGATTGGACTTGGATTTATATTGCATCCAAGCTGCCTACGTACCCAAACGGGATCAAGTCGAACGTAGTTCATTACAAAAGAGAACGGAAAACATACATGGGCACGCAGGCCCGCTAAACTAGAAATAAAATGCAGAAAAAGAAAATCTCCTCAAAGGCGTCGGGAATTTTACTTGTAATATATTTTCAGATTGTCGGCATTCCAGGGCCTCGGAAGAGGTCTTCCCGAAGTGTCTCTTAGGCTGTATGCTCCCTTGCGAACCTGCCGTATGACCTCAAAGGGCCCTTCCCAGACGGGCCCGAGCTTCCCTGGGGGGTGGCCTGCTGCTTCGGCCCTCCTCAAGACCAAATCGCCAGCTCTGAACCTCCGAGCCTTGACTTTGCGATTAAAATGTTTTGCTGTCTTTGCTTGGTAAGAGGCCACTTTTATAGCGGCTTGCTCCCGTACTTCTTCCAAGAG